GCTCCTCGCTCCTCGCTCCTGCTCCTCGCTCCTCGCTCCTGCTCCTGCTCCTGCTCCTGCTCCTGCTCCTGCTCCTGCTCCTGCTCCACCATCGTTCCTCTTCTCCTCACCTTCTCTCCCTCTCTCATCAGCTTCCTGTAAAGTTCGCGCTCCAGTCTCTTCATTGCGGTGATGGCAGGAGTCTCAACTCACACAGGGTGGGGTAGTTCTGGGGTCATGGTGGGGTACTCGAGGAAATCATCGTCATGGCGGCGCCATGGCAGATGAAGGAGACGGAGAGCGAAGTTCGAGTGCTGGTGAAGATGAAGGTGAGGCAGAGAGCATGCGGGAGGGATGGAGGAAGGGAGCATGAGAGAGGGAGGGAGGAATGAAGGGAGAGTAGGGATGGTGGAGTGGGGAGAGTAGGGAGGGAGAGTTAGAGAGGGAGGGGGGCGAGTAGAGGAGGGAGGGAAGGGAATGAAGAGTACTGGACGGGATAAGAGGGGAGTACGAGAAACAACATTGAGTGTGGGTGAGAGGGATGGTGAACACACGAAGAGACTGGCTTGTGAGACTTGACGGCTGAGCAAGTAGAGGTCATGAGCAAGCATGTTTAGGCGACGAAGGGAGCTCTGACAAGATGACCTTTGCTGCAAACAGAACGCAAAACCACCAGTTGTTACGATACAAGGATCATTAGCTGAAGTTCGGTTCGGACGCGATGTGACGGCGATAGAGTTTCAAGAGAGGCGAGAAGAAGAAGAACATTGCTTGTTGCTTGCTGTCAGTTGACGTTGATGGCTCAGAGTCATCAGCCACGCGGTCGACGTAAAGCCTCAGAATGTGACGATCACGTTCAAGAAGGCCTTGCCTTGCCTGTGGAACAAGTTGCCTACAAGTGAAGAACTTGACCTCTTGTGCTCTCCTCACACTTTGAAGTTCTGGATGGAAAGAGGGCCAAGACTGTCGCTAAGACGGTTGCGGTGGAGGCAGCGAGGGAGGTGGAGCTGTAAAGTTAGTGCTGCTTGCCTCATGCCTGATTCAGGTCGAGCCCTCCCAGGAGCTCCAAAGCTCCACCCCTCGCCCTCCCCCAGCTGCTCCCCCAGCGGTTTGTGCCGTCTCGATGATGCTGTCAGCCCCTCAAGTTTCAGCAGACCGAGAGGGAGGAGACGATGCGCGAGCAGAAGACACAAGAGAGCAGGAAGAAGGAGACGGACCTGCATCCTGTGCTTTGCTTTCTCAGCTCCTACAGGCTTGACTTTCTCCCCTCAGCTTCTCATGGAGCAGAGGCAGCAAGTCATAAGGAGGTCAAGACTGTCTTGATAAAGCTGCGAGGCTGACCAGACGTCAGCCATTCTCTCAAGGAGCTTCAAGTCTCCAAGATGCGCGATAGCCTTCTCTCAAGCCTTCGGTTGCTGGCCCCCCCCCCCCCCCCTCCTCCCTGCTCTCTACCTCACCTTATCTCCCTTCTGTCTCTGACTCTGACTCTGACTCTGTTTCTGTCTCTATCTCTGTCTCTGTCTCTGTCTCTGACTCTCTTCGTGTTTTCTTCTCTGTCTCTGACTCTCTTCGTGTTTTCTTCTTGATCTCCCGCAGCTCTGGACAGTTCGAGAAAGAAGTCGACCAGCTTCTCGCAGACAAGATGCCCCAAGTAAGAGAGGAGGGGCTGATGGATACGTGGAACAGCATGAGGAGTGGAAGGGCCAAGAAGGAGAAGAGGTGGAAGATGAGAGGGAGGAAGCAGAGGAGAAGCAGAGGGGAAGCAGAGGAGAAGCAGAGGGGAAGCGAGGAAGGGAGACGAGGAGAG